GTACTGACCTTCAAGCATGTAGTCCAGCATTGTAGAGTTGCCAAGTCTCCCTTTCAATTGGCTCTGCCAAACATGATGATGGGCATTGATGAACCCAGGAGCAATAACTTTCCCATCGCAGTCAATCTTGGATGCATTTTGAGGTTCAATAGCATGTCCGATCTCCATGATACGATCGTCTTCAATCAAGATATCGGTGTTTCTAAGAGCGATGACATTGTCTTGCGCATCATGCTGCAACACGGTACCATTTTGAAGGAGAAGTCTAGGAGCCATGGTAATATCGGTACCTTCAATCAATGCCAAGAACAATTGTCAATGTGAGTGTCGTGCGCGCTGACTATTAATACTCGCGGTTAAGAGTTCGGTCATCGGTGTATTCAGTGGACATAGCTCGGCATTAAGGTTATCTCAGGTGAAGCTCGGTGAATTCTGTTATCAGATAAGACAAAAGATCGGCTCTATAGTTCGGGGATATCGGTGGGTGACGTACGTCTTACCCTGCACGAAGAGCAAAAACATAAAATCGGAGGCACTTTGCACCGCTTGCAACGTCAATTGCAAGTTAACCCAGAGGAATCAGTCACGAGCTTATTTATGTATTATAGATGATTGGATCTGCCTACAGACAATGTCATTGTTGTGGAGCGTGCACCCTTAACATGTCAATTTTCAATTTTCATCATATTGAATTCATATCCATCAGAGCTTGCACCAAAGTCATAGCTTGAATCAGGAAGTACAACAACGTGATTTAGCATCGGACACGCCATGCTTCTCTTTGACATCTGATTTATAAAACAGTTAACTCTACTGTTCTGTGTAGAATGCTGTCGTTGTTACCGTTCAGCTGAGAACCGCATCGAAGCCACATTTCACGGAAGGATGAATAATTATCCATGCGCCACTAAGCTCCTGTTGTGGCGGCCATAGTGAATTCGCTTTTATTGGCCCAAGCTCCATCATACAACCATAACAAACGTGGCACCCAATGAATTACCAGCATTTCAATACCGGAGCGACACCTGCGTCTCTGTCCAATCGGGCGATGCCGTTGCATGCAGCAGCACGTTTCCAGCTCGTTGATCAGATCTGGATCATGATCTATCTCGCAAGTGGTGAGCTCACTCTCCTCTCCTCTCCCCCCCACGGATCAAACCGTATCAAGCCATCGTCAAAACGGCATGGCTCACTCCCAATTTCGCAACCCTCACGTGTCGGCCAAGCCCGGCATCAAATCAAACCGGCACTTGATTTTAGTCACTAGACAGAAACAGGTTAATCGACTGACCTCAACTCAAGACTAGAAGCTTTCGAAGCTTTTTCGAAGCCCATCTAAACGAAAAATGGATTAGGCCGCATTTTGCGTCAATGGTCAGCAGAGCAGCACCAGTCACTACGGAGTCTTTACTCCAAATTCTGCTCGTCAGCGCGCCAAGACCCCATGGGCAGAAAATGATGAGACATTCCAGGGTGAGAGTGCCCCCTCCCTCTTACCCCCAGCTTCTCAACTTCCCTTAGGCCGGCATTCCCCAGTCTCCCCCTTCTACCCAATTCAGCTCATGCGGGATATTTTAATTCAACGCGTCTTTCTCTTCAATGAATGACAGCTTCGCGTTGGGGGAGCTTGGACCTTGAGTGAGACTAATGCGTATCGAACGGGCCGGTTACAAAGCGATCTTGTGGCGTTCGAGTCAGTCTACGGAGTAGCTCTCGACAATTTCGTATGATGCCTAACAACCGAGAAACCTAAAACACAGAGATCCAGGGAGATAACCCTGCTGGATGGCATGCAGTCACGTCAAAAAACAACTCAATTGAGTGACCCAACAACCCTCATCAAACTTACCGTTGCATTGGGAGACGAACCATCTCATTTTGACTGCTCCAACATAAACTTGCTTGACCAATGACACCGTGAACCACGACACACATTTGCAGAAACACCAAGGCCAAAGGAGACAAGCATCATCAGCCTTGCTCTGCTAAATCAGGTTGATAACGCCGATGCCGGTCGATAGCGCGGTCTTGGTACGAAATTAAAGGCCCGAATACTGCAAAGCCTTGCTAACCCGAGTGAGCGCATTTGGAGAGCTTTCCCACGCGCTGCTCTGCTCTCCCACGCATCCAGACCTATCATCACAGGCCGGGAGATCGACTGCTTGGCAGTCACTAAGCTTATTCAAGAGAGGTCTCACGACGGGCGTATTGTCGGTCCGATCCCCACCATCTCTCCACAACGGCTCCAACGCTCTAGCCCGTTGAAGCTACGCTTCTCCCTTGGCGTTGGAGACCGAGTTCGTGAGTGGTTGACGAGCAATGGGCCCATTGGTAGCTTGTTTTATGGTTCTTCCCCAGACTGGTCTGGATTGCACCGCACGGCTTAGGCGATGCCGCGGGATAAGAATTTTCGCACAACTTGGGGTCATGGAGAAGTGGACCGTCACCCTTTCTTCACGCGGAGTAGAGTTTCCCACCTCCACATCTCCAAGTTTTATGTGTCCGGGGGATTGCGTTGGGGAAGTGGGACAGTAGCTTGAGTTTATCGCGCCGACACTGGGGACTCCGCAGGCTAGCTGCTCAAGCAAGAAAAAAAGCTACTCTACTGGAGACAGAGCTAGCTGCTGGCGTGGACAAGTCTGGGGCGATGAGATTTGTATAAAGAAGACCATCAACCACCGCGAATATCTTCATTCTCATCATCACTCTCATCTTCTCTCATCTGATAGACAAGAACATCTTTTCTTCTTCTCTTATCAACACCCGCATTTCATCACAATGGCAGGCGGTGCTATCCCCACAGCGGCTCCCCAGCTCGCAGGCGGCTACCTGACTGGTCGCGCCCTCATCTACCCCCTCTCCCTCGTCATCTCCCTCTTCTTCCTCTGGGGTTTCTCCTACGGTCTTCTCGATGTCCTCAACAAGCATTTCCAAACCGTCCTCGGTATCACAAAGCTCGAGTCCACTGGCCTGCAGGTCATGTACTTTGGTGGCGGTTACCTCCTCTTCTCTCCCATTGCTGCTGAGGTTCTCAAGCGCCGCGGTTACAAGCTCACTATCCTGATGGGTCTTACTCTCTACTCTCTCGGTGCTGTTCTGTTCTGGCCTGTTGCCAAGTCTGCTGATAGCAACGCCAACGGTCGCGCTGTCTTTGGTGGTTTCTGCGCTTGCACTCTCGTCATCGCTTGTGGTCTCGCTACTCTCGAAACTGCCGCCAACTCTTACGCTGTCGTCATCGGCGCTCCCGAGTCTGCCTCCGCTCGTCTCCAATTCTGCCAGTCTTGGAACGGTGTCGCTTCCTTCATCGGTCCCCTCATCGCCTCCAAGTTCTTCTTCACCGGCGAGAACCAGAACAACCTCACCAACGTCCAGTATGTCTACCTCGCTGTCGCCTGTGCTGGCGCCGCCGTCGGTGTCCTCTTCTTCTTCGCCAAGCTTCCCGAGGTCAGCGAGGCTGTTCTTGAGGATGACCAGGCTGGCCACGTCACTCAGGGCTCCATCTGGAAGCAGTGGAACATGTGGTTCGCCTTCGGTGCTCAGTTCTGCTACGTCGGTGCCCAGGTCACCATCGCTACCTTCTTCATCAACTACGCCCACGAGAACGGTGACATCACAACTGCCAAGGGTAGCACCATGCTGAGCTATGCTCTCATCACCTTCACTGTCGGTCGATTCGTCGCTACTGGTCTTGCTGTCATCTTCAGCTCCGAGTTCATCATGGTTGTCTACTCTTGCTGTGCCATCGCTCTTACTGCCTACGTCAGCGCTGCTCCCAGGGGTATTGCCAGTGTCGGTATCCTCATTGCCATCTTCTTCTTCATGGCTCCCATGTACCCCACCATCTTCGCCATGGGTACCCGAAATCTCGGCCACCACACTCGACGTGCTGCTGGTATCCTTGTCATGGGTGTCTCAGGCGGTGCTGTGTTCCCTCCTATCCAGGGCGCAATCGCTGATGCTAAGGGCACTCGAATCTCCTACATCGTCCCTACTATCGGCTTCGTCTACGTCCTCGGCTACGTCGCTGTCAACTGGGTTCGTGGCGGAATTACATTCCTGGCCCCCAAGGCTGAGGAGTCAAATGTCGATGAGATCACCTACGATAACGAGAAGAACGATGTCATCGTTGAGCAGCGCGAGAAGAAGCACAACGAGATGGCTTAATTGGATCGGATCAAGACGGATGAATATAATAGAGGCGTTCTAGATGGACCTTTCACGATAGATGCCTGGCGCAAAGATATACTATGAGAATCAGAATTTAATGTTTTATGACCAAATACTCAGAAGGCTTCATTTCATGTGACTACTGTGCAATACTTTGATCGAAATGTCTGCCAGTCTGGTGAAGATTCGTGATGTTCGGACTTCGCCTTAGTCATGAATGTGGGTACCAGATCGCGACATGACTTGAGCCCCACAGAAGTGGAGAAGACCCCATTGCTGCCAATCATCGCAGACCGAAGGTGATTGGTGAATGTCGAGATGCAACTCCAGTGTACATGACTTGATAACTTATTCTACAGGCCCATTCGCTGTAGAGGTAACTCATCTATGGATAGACAGCAACACTTACTGTAGTGAAGCCTACTCTGTATGATAATCCGAATGAGGATGAGGATGAGCAACATGCTGTACAGGCTTGACAGGTAAGACATGCCAGTCAAGTTTCAGCCCGTCATAAGAACGATGTGCACCCAGCCTGGAATCCTAATCAATTTTGGGTGCATGGCCAATATTACGATGACCCTCCTTACAAACCTAATCATTTGCAGGACTGCCCATCACCAGTCTCTGTTTTATGCGTGCATCCAACCCGAACCTAGTCCTAAATGATGAAGAGTTTAGATGAAATGAGTATATCTCTAAATAGTTTATACTAAGTTTAGTATACTCGTTGACTAGTTTATTTTTTTCATTTCTTCCCTGGTCTTGTGTTTTGGTTTACTCTATTCTTTAGGGACTAAGATTCTGTACACAAGCGAACAACAGGTGATGAGATGTCACCAGCATCCCCCAAGAACCCTCAGCTCAAGCACATTATCGAAAACACCATTAGCTCTGATCTTTGTCTGCCGTTGATCGTCAACGATGAAGCGCTGGAGCTGCCTCGTGCTTTGCAATATCCGTTCTGGATGGGGATACCCGATTCCACTGAGAACTCAGATAATGAGATGTTTGGAACCGGTGAGGAGGCCCCGGAGACACAGGAGAGTTTGTACAGTTCGTGGGAGGGGACATCGGACTCAGACGAAGACTCAGAGAGTGATGCGTTGGCGTGATAGAATTAGTCTGGGTAGATGGGAGATGGGAGATGAATTGATCTTCAGAGATTGCAAGTCTGGCTCTCAGCTTGAATCGGCCGAGAGAACTTAGTGAACTCAGTGCAAAAGTCATAAGGTTTAAAGATCGTAAGATTGTGAAAATAAATGATAATACATGCCGTGGACACGCCGAGAAACGCAGATCTGACTTCTGCTTTTTTTGATGTGGAATAAAACCTAAGTTTAGAATAGGGGCGTCGAAAGCCTGGATTTTTTTGACGAACTTTACCACGTCTGGGTGCAACTTGGAAAAGCAATTCTACCACGAATATAACTCCGAATTAAATGAAACATATATGAATAAGAAGCTTGTATCATATTGTCACCGTTTCATAATTGTCCGCCCGTAAATTCGACCCAGATGCGACGTTGAGCGCTCGACACAATTTCCCCTACTCTTTGTGAACCTGCCATTATCGCGACAACCTCGCGTGCTGGAATCGGTGTCACTATACATTGTCAATTGGGACTGCCAAGAACCCTGTATTCTATTGAACAGCTTTCCGTTTTGTACGCCTGTAAATTCGACCTGGGCCTGGAGTTGGCATGCGAAGGACTTTGTCCTCTTGGTTTTGAAGCACCCTCAATGTCGTGATAGCTTCATATCAAATCCCAGCTGAGTTTCATCTCAATATGACCATGCGCTCAGTCAAAGAAACCAGACTCAGCTTAATATCGTCCCAAGCTCAGGACACATACTCAGTCGAGCTATATGGTTAGTCCCAACTCGATTATATCCAACCCTCCAGCTTGTCTCTCCGCCGTATGCCTGAACTACTCACCACCTAGAATATTCACCCCCGGGTTGTCTGATTAACTGTATTGTGCTATTGGATATAGACATTTCTATCTTCAAATCTCACCTAGTCATAATGTGAAGCACTGCATTAGCTAGACAGGTCTGCTAAGACTTGCACCTTCTCTGCCACATCCTTTACAACGATATCCTTCAGCCTCAACTGGCACTCTATCCCGTGGACCCGTGCAAGGGCAATATCCGAGGGATGGAGCTTGAACACAGTAGTAGAGAAGCTCTTTCAAGAAATCAGGACACTCAATGAGTAGCTCGTCAAAGGCCTCCCGGGTATCAGATTGCCCCCCTGCACCGCGTAGCTTGTTCCTTGCAAACTCCAATGCCGGATCTCGGAGACCCCTTGAGCTATCGGGAGTCATGGTATAGACTAATGGGATTGAATTGAGAAACTCGTCGAGTTCCAGGTTTTCATCCAGGGACCATGAGTATTTTCGAGCGGATAGATCTCTGAGTCCTTTGATATCGTATTCGTCCCCCAGAGCATACATTATCGCATGAGTCGAGAGTGCCCCCGAGCTTGATGAAGTGTTGGTTTCTTTTGTTTCGTCGGGATCGTCAGGTTCGTTCATGTGAATAGAATAGTCGCCCGTATACAGGTAGTCGACCATAAGCTGTATCATATCAGGCTGATGTGACGTCAAGTCATATGTACCGGAGAATGCTTCCTAGAAGTCTGTCAGAACGACAGTCAGGTGTACTTGCTGTATCGAATCTCCATACCTTGAATTGACCAGCACATGCTGCACGAAAAACTGGAGATTGGCTGCAAATGATGATCTTGTGAACCTTGATATCTCGGCCGTCACATGTCAATGTGAAATCGGTAAATTCGCCGGACTCGCGGGCTCTATTGATTTGGTCAATTATGATCTCGGCACTTAACAGCAGGTGATCGTACTGCACTATGCGTGCTCTGGTATCTTCATAATCCATGATGGCTGACGACGGGTAACTCGAAGCACGAACAGCAAAACACAACACGAGAACAGAAAGATAAAATGGCCACAAGTGCAAATTTGGCGGATTATTCCTTTTAATGCCAAACAATGACGAGGCGTCTGATTCATGGGTGGCCTCATGATCCCGAATTCGTGGTTCATCGAGTCTGGATCTGGTTAGTTATCAGATCTAGCGTTATACCTTGGCGCCACTGGCAACAAAGTTTGCAACCATGACATCTGTCACAGCCACAAGCCACATCCACTGTGTCGGCGGTCTGAAATGTTGCTTTGGAGTTAAGATAACTGACTGTATAGTGACAAAATTCCGCTTGCTCTCTATGAAGGCATGAGCACTTGCGCGTCGCTTTTGTTGATGTAATTGTATAAGTGGCAATAAACATTGTAATTCAAGGCTAAGAAACTCTTCTGAGGCACACGAATTCTGGAAATTCTGGCTGGAATATAAAGAACTGCCAATGCTGTGTCTAGGGAATATAGACCTCTTCCATGTCTTCATCATCGGTATCATTGCCCTGCTGTCGCTCATGCTCACGAGCCTCCAGCTCTTCCAAGATACGGCAGTTATGACACAAATCGATAGAAACTTCCTCTTCATCAACCTCAACTCCATAGCATGGCTCTTCTGTGTTGTCATCAATCTGGGTCAAAGGGCCCCGTCCACGTCGACCACAAGGCGTGATGGGCCCATAGCTACCAACGCTGGTGCCACTGCATTTGTCGCAGACCTCGACGGTCTTGGTTTGGTAGCACACGGTTTGATATATTTGCTACAGGTTAGCATCTAGGCAAGGGGAGGAAAAGAGACATACTCTGGGCTTTGGATATAAGCGATTAGAGATGATAGACGAAACTAAGCAGAGTTGAACCAGACTCAAATCTAAGGAGAATAACAAGTAGAAAATGGGATGACTATATAGTATCAATACATGCGCGAGACACTCAGTATAGGATAACTCGATCGATCGAGACCAAGTGCTTTTCTGAAGAGCCATCCAATGCGAAGAAGACACGCATTATTATTTCAAGCCCTTTGCATAAACGGCTTGATATATGTCGATCATTCTGAGCGAAACTGTGCAGCTGCACGAAATATTGAATGTGGCGCTGGCATCCTTCGCCCGGCTAGATAGACAGCCTGATTTGACAATGTGACATATCTCTTGAGGTGCAGAATACTCGCATTATTGTGACCAACCAGATCTTGCCCACATCACACCAGTCAGCATCATGTTACATTATGCACCAAGGATACCACATGGACCAAGACTTCTCAATATGAAAGGCTACAGAGTCATTGTCTGATAGCGTGGATAGGGCTGCATTGAGTGCAGACCATACAGGCCAGTCCACCTTGGTGTTCACCATTGTGATGACTTTATCAGAGTGAAACATGAAGTATGACTTATACGAATAGCTCTATTCTGTGACAACTTTGGAATCCGACGCGTGACGTTTTCCCGGCGTGGTGACGAAGTCTCGATTATAAGAGGCAAAAAGACTCAATCAAGTATGTTTCGCATAACCCTAGGAGACATGCTGACGATTTCTCGCAGGCACCCAGACTTTTCTTCTTTGAGTGTGAGACCCTCTGTCATTAGCTGGCATCTACATTCCCGTGCGTGCATACATAGCAGAAGAGCATTAGTATCAGGCAAAACTGGACAGAAGTGTCTTGCAACTATCAGTAACATGTGAAACAGAGACAGGGAATAATTATTTGTCCGGTTTATAATAAGGTTTTTGACGATATCAGCTTAAATTACTTATGTCCCAGCGTAGCCTTGAATCTTTCGGACTGTTCACTAATCAACTAACTACCGATGCATTCCCCGCCAGCAAACCCGAAATGACCGCATTAATCGGAGCAATGCCCGCAGACTCCGCAACCACGACACGTGAAATTGAGTTCTACTGAATACCCATGCGCCCGCAGCCAGGTTGAGATTGAAGCTATACTCCAGTATTACTAAAGCCTCCGAGGAGAGAATCGAATGGTTATCTATAGCTGAAATGATGACCAACCACCAAATTGCGCACGACCTTTATAAAGGCCTTTATAAAGGGACAATGTAATTGAGACTCTAGACACGGCTCCAGTTATCCATCCATATTCTGCATCACAATTGATACTTCCAGCATACTCTATCAGCTGAAGAGCAAACCTGGTCTGCACTGAACCCAATAACACCACCTTGCGAATACCCCATAATGTCCAACAAGCCAACAGCTCTAATTACTGGGTACGCTCCACTAAGATTGGCATTGCATGCAGATCGGGACTTACTAACGCACATGCAGCTGCTCTGAAGGTGGAGCTGGGCATGCCCTCGCTCTAGAATTCGCAGCCAAAGGCTATCGAGTCTTTGCGACCGCTCGATCAACCAAATCGCTTGCTGGCCTTCAAGAAAAAGGCATCGAGCTTCTGCCACTCGACGTGACCAACTCAGAGAGCATATCTGCTCTCAAGGACGAGATTACAAAGCGGACGGGAGGAAAGTTAGATATCCTTTTTAATAATGCTGGAATGAGTAAGTCTGCTCTACTAATTGTGAATGGAAACGCGTATTGACGCTTTCAGTGTATGAGGCCCCCGCCATCGAAGCCGACAAGGATCAAGTCCAGAACATGTTCAAGACCAACGTCTTTGGTCTCTTCGACATGGTCCAGGCCTTCACCCCACTGCTCATCGCATCGGTCGCCGGGTCAAAAACGACACCTACCATCATCAACACAGCGTCGATTGTAGCGCGTGTACCTTATTACTTTACCGCCCAGTATAACGCCACTAAAGCAGCAGTAGCCTCCTACTCTGACACACTACGTCTTGAACTTGCTCCCCTTGGCATCAAGGTCATCACTCTGTATATGGGAGTAGTTGCAACACATCTCACGTCACCCGACAAGAAGCTTCTCTCTCCTGATAGTATCTTCATTGATGCCGAGGAAGGTCTGCGTGAGAGATCTAGACTTCACCTGAAGAATGGTACCAAGCCCGAGGAGTTCGCACGGTCGGTGGTGAAGGATGTGTTAAAGAACAAGACAGCTTTGAGCAAAGGGGAGTATATCTGGCAAGGAGCTAATGCATATGTTGTTTGGCTTCTTAATGCCATTGGATGGAGAAAGATTTTTGATGGGATCTCTGAAGGAGGCGTTGGGCTTACCAAGGATGTGAAGCAGGCAATATATAAGAAGGGTCAGAGCAGTCTGCCAAAGGATAGTTAGAACTTGGTCATGGTTAGAGGTGATATCTAATTTGTAATAATGATATCTTATAATTGTTTGTACTATGAAGAGCTGGCTCTGACGGAATACGGTATCTGGCAAATCTTTGGACTGACTCTTACAAATCGGATACAAGAGAGAGTAGAATTGCAGCCAAGAAGAGGGCAAGAATAATCTTGAAGCATCGTCAGGCTCCCTTACGATGTGAAGGTTTACATCTCATGGGCAAGTTCGCGGCCCTCAGGGAGCATGAAAATATCAGATCCTGTGAGGTGTCAAAATGAGTTCAATTAAAGTTATCCTAAGCTTCTAATAAGTCACACAAGTCTTTTAATCGTCTAGGACCAAAGTTCTGAGTCTTCCTTTCCTCTCCTAGACGTCCACTAGTGATACCACTCATGTAAAACAACAATCCCAAGTCGAACAATAATACATTCGCAAGCACAATATAATAGACCAATCTAGGCTCTGATACTTCTAAAGATATCTGCAACCTTTCCAAGGAGCTTCCGTAACATAGCAGGCGTCATCATAGCATGATCAGGAATGACGCGAGGCCTTTCATCCAACTCCTTCCCAAGAACATCGACCTGCCTGAGCGACAACAGACCGACTTCCTTACCATCTAGTCCTCTCCCAACACCCAGAACACGCTCAATATTCTCTATCAGACTAACTGACACTTCACAGAAGATCATGCCCTGTGTGCAAGGTCTCTCAAGTGGTCGGCCACAGACTATAAGACCCGGGACGGGCTCGATCGGATCGGTGGCAATTCGCTCGACTCGTGTAGCGATGTTATCGAGGATAAGCTCGTAAATAGTGATAAGCTGGATGAAGATACTCGTGATCATCAATGCTATTGGGGTAGGTAATGGCTCTGAGGTAACAGTGGGCCTAGGAAGTGAGACGTCGAATAAATTCCTTGACTTCTTAAGTTCCGAAGACAGATGGCATGGGCAGATTAACTCCATCGGCTGCGAATCACATAAGAGCTCTGGGCAGTGTCGGGTGTTGTAGAGCTTCGTCAAGATGTACAGAAACTCTTGAGCGACTTTGATGATGTATTCTGCTAATGTGATGCCGTCGATAAATAACGGGCCATGTTGATAGATCATGAGATCAAAGTCGAGCGATGCTTTGGCCTTCTTCATTGCTTCGATGCGAACGTGTAGACCGAGGTTTATTGTGGATAGGTCGGCCATGAAGGCTCCAGGGTCAGCTTTTCGTGGGTGATGTGTTGTGAGGCAGTTGGTCAAGGGGAAGAAGGTTTCGTATGTGATGGTAGAGTTCGGAGAGCTGATTGGGTATAAGTTCGTGATGGTGTCTAGGTCGGTGTATAAAGGAGTATTTGCGTATTCGAGATCACCGCCTGTATTCCAAGACGTGCTTGACTGGTCAAAAATATCTGTGAATCCAATTCCCCACGATGCTGCAATTCCGTCTTGTATCGCGGCAGCAGGCATTTGAGGAGGGGACTGTTTCGGGGACAACATGCCCGTCCAGTCAAACGGACTCCAATCATCCATGAGCGTAGCGTTTTGTGACAGAGCATTAGGAGACACTGGTTTACTGACAGGCAGATGCTGAACAGTCGGTGGTGAGTCTTTCCCAGGTTGTTTTCGTCGCGGCCGGCCTGGAACCTTTTGCTGTCCAATCTCGCACTTGACTCCCAGCATCGAACATCGCGCACATTTCTCATCGGTAGGTTTTATCCGTTGACATCGTGATTTGCTCTTCCTGCAGACGTCACACGAGAAGCGTCGCTGAGAAGGATGTGGTGCGGAGACGCCCATTGTCAACGGAGCTTTGTCTGCAAGCAGTGGTAGAATTGAATGGGCTGTCGGATTGAAGGATAGGAGCGAAGTCCGCTGCGAGACCACCTCTATATACAAAACCCTCCGCGGAAGGTTTCGCACTGCAGGGGGAGCTAGTCCCGTTGGGGGGAATTCGTGATTAGTATACTCTCCGACACGTGAACGCCCACGGCAGTGTTTAGTAACTGTCCCGGTTAGGGAGAACTGCCGTGATCGCATTGGCCTGTCGATCGCCTCGGACTCGCTTGTGTGGCCGCATGGGGTTTAGCTTTGGGACGTGCCGTGAGGGAGACGGTCGGACTCCTCGCTGTTGATAATGAATGGCGTTTCCGCAGGGTTTTCTTCTATGATTGCTAATTCATTCGGTTGGTCTTCGTATCTGAGCCCGGAGGGTTTTGGAGTTTAGTCAGTGAGGTTGATGACGCTTTGATCGAGAATAGATAGTTATTTGTTGCGTACATGTAAAACGTTTCTGTCGCTGTTATATCACGACTCACCTTTCGTTCCATTACGTTCTTTATCACTTAATTAAACCTATATCGCTCTCTAATTACTACTCTTTCATTCCTTAATTCTCAACCGCAAAAATGAGTGTTAATTCCTCCACCACCGAAGATGGCTCCATCACAGCCACTGAACAACCTCCCCCAGCCCTGATCGACAAACCTCCCCTCGAAAAGACCAACACTACGACACAATGGCATCTCGCCCCCGAACTCCAAGCCATGCGTGACGCCGATGAAGAAATCGGCCAAAAGCCCCGCAAACTCGGCGTCACCTGGCAGAACCTCACTGTCAAAGGCATAGGCAGCGATGCCGCGTTCAACGAAAACGTCGTCTCGCAGTTCTACCCTTTTCACCAGAGCGCCAAAGATGCTCCGATGAAGACTATTATCGATGGCTCGTACGGTTGCGTCAAGCCTGGCGAGATGTTGCTTGTTCTTGGTCGCCCTGGGAGTGGATGTACTACCCTCCTAAGTGTCCTAGCAAATAATCGTCGGGGTTATGAAGAAGTTTCTGGCGATGTTCATTACGGCAACATGTCTGCCGACGAAGCAAAAGCCTACCGGGGACAAATCATAATGAACACTGAAGACGAGATCTTCTTCCCCAGTCTGACAGTCGAAGCAACCGTCGATTTTGCCGCGCGCATGAAAGTCCCCTTCCATTTACCCCCCGGCATAAAGACCCACGAAGAATACGCCCAGTTCTACAAAGACTTCCTCCTCCGCTCCGTCAACATATCCCACACAGCACATACAAAAGTCGGCGATGCTTTCATCCGCGGTGTATCCGGCGGCGAGCGCAAACGCGTGTCTATCGTGGAGTGTCTTACTACGCGGGCTAGTGTATTTTGCTGGGACAACTCTACGCGTGGTCTTGATGCGAGCACAGCCCTGGAGTGGGTGCGGGCTATACGTGCTATGACGGATATTCTGGGACTGACTACTATTGTCACGCTATATCAGGCTGGCAATGGGATCTACGAGCATTTCGACAAGGTTCTTGTTCTTGATGAGGGGAAGCAAATTTTTTATGGCCCGCAGAAAGATGCTGTTCCGTTTATGGAAGACTTGGGCTTTGTGAGGGATTCAGGATCAAATCGGGGAGACTTTCTGACAGGTGTTACTGTTCCGACCGAGAGGCGTGTTGCGGAAGGGTATGAAAACACCTTCCCCCGTGATGCAGATGGTGTACGCGCTGCTTACGACAGATCGGCCATCAAAGCTCGTATGGTCGAGGAGTGTCAAGCCTACCCCATCAGCACCGAAGCAGCCGAGAACACCGCAATCTTCAAAGAAATGGTCACCCGCGAGAAGCAGCGCTATGTCCCCGCATCGTCTCCTGTCACCGCCAACCTCGCCATGCAGATCCAAGCCGCTGTTACGAGGCAGTATCAGATCATGTGGGGTGACAAGTCAACGCTCTTCATGAAGCAGGGCGCGACTCTCATCCAGGCTTTTCTGGGTGGATCGCTGTTCTACAATGCTCCAGCCAACAACACTGGTCTTTTTCTCAAGGGCGGTGCATTGTTCTTCTCGATTCTGTATAATTCGCTTTTGGCCTTGGGAGAAGTGACGGATTCTTTCACTGGACGACCGATCCTTGCCAAACATCGGTCTTTTGCCCTTTACGACCCTGCAGCTTTCTGTATCGCGCAGGTTGTGGCTGATCTACCCATCTTGGCGTTCCAGGTCACTCAATTCGGTCTCGTGCTTTACTTCCTCGTCGGTCTCAAGACTACCGCCGGTGCCTTCTTCACGTATCTCGTCACCAACTACGTTACCGCCTTATCAATGACGGCCTTTTTCCGCTTCGTTGGTGCCGCGTTCCCAACTTTCGACGCCGCCACCAAGGTCTCTGGACTTTCTGTCGTTGCGCTGTTTGTCTACATGGGATACATGATCATCAAGCCCGAGATGCATCCCTGGCTATCGTGGATCTTCTGGATCAATCCCATGGCTTATGGCTTTGAGGCTCTTCTCGGGAACGAGTTTCACGATCAAGAGATTCCATGTGTTGGCCCCTACCTCATTCCAAACGGTCCTGGATACGTCGGAGGCAATGGAGGACAAGCGTGTTCTGGTGTTGGGGGCGCGGAACCCGGCGCTACATTCGTCACAGGCGATGCTTACCTCGCCAACATGTCCTTCAGTCACAGCCATATCTGGCGCAACTTTGGTATCAACTGCGCATGGTGGGTTTTCTACGTCGGTCTCACCATCTTCTTCACGTCGCGATGGAAGCAAGTTGGAGAAGGAAATCGAACCCTCCTCATCCCTCGGGAACAACAGCACAAGTCCAAGCATCTTCTCCCCTCCAAGGACAGCGAAGCACCAACGGAAAAGACCCGTGGCGATAACGGAGCTGGAGCTTCTGATGGCGAAGTCGACACGAATCTCATGCGTAATAAGAGTATCTTTACCTGGAAGAACTTGACATATACCGTCAAAACCTCAGACGGCGATCGTGTACTTCTTGATAACGTCCAAGGTTACGTCAAACCCGGTATGCTCGGTGCATTGATGGGCTCTTCAGGCGCCGGTAAAACAACCCTCCTCGACGTCCTCGCCCAGCGCAAAACTGAAGGATCAATCCACGGATCAGTGCTCGTCGATGGCCGACCTATTCCAGTGTCTTTCCAACGATCAGCTGGCTATGTCGAGCAACTCGATATCCACGAGCCATTGGCAACAGTCCGCGAAGCCCTCGAATTCTCCGCTCTGCTACGCCAATCTCGCGATATACCCACCGAAGAGAAGTTGCGTTACGTCGATACCATCGTTGATCTCCTTGAGCTGAACGACCTCGAACACACCCTCGTCGGCCGTCCTGGAAACGGCTTGTCAATTGAACAGCGAAAACGCCTCACCATCGCTGTTGAGCTGGTCGCAAAGCCTAGTATTCTCATCTTTCTTGATGAACCGACGTCTGGGCTCGATGGGCAGGCTGCTTACAACACGGTGCGCTTCCTTCGAAAGCTCTCGGCTGCTGGACAGGCTATTCTCGTGACGATCCATCAGCCATCTGCACAGTTATTTGCGCAGTTCGACACGCTGTTGCTGCTTACCAAAGGTGGGAAGACTGTATATTTCGGCGATATTGGAGATAATGCTGCTACTGTCAAGCAGTATTTCGGCCGTTATGGCGCTCCATGTCCACCTGAGGCTAACCCCGCTGAACACATGATCGACGTTGTGTCCGGTGAAGATGGACCGTACAAAGACACGGACTGGAACCAGGTTTGGCTGCAGTCGCCGGAACATGACCAGCTCAGCAAAGACCTGGACCAAATGATTGAAGTAGCAGCATCCCAACCGTCAAGCACCAACGACGACGGGAACGAATTCGCAGCCTCGATGTGGACGCAGGTCAAGCTTGTAACACATCGAATGAACGTCTCTCTCTTCCGAAACACAGAATACGTGGACAACAAATTCGCTATGCATGTCAGCCTTGCGCTCCTCAACGGGTTCACGTTCTGGCAGCTTGGCGATAGTTTGACAGACCTCCAGCAGAACCTGTTTACCGTGTTTAACTTCATCTTTATTGCACCGGGTATTATCGCGCAGCTTCAGCCGCTGTTTATTGATCGAAGGGATATTTACGAGGCGAGGGAGAAGAAGAGTAAGATGTATCACTGGGCGCCGTTCGTTACTGGGTTGATTGTGTCGGAGGTGCCGTATTTGCTGGTTTGTGCGGTGTTGTATTATGTTTGTTGGTACTTTACTGCTGGGCTGCCGACTGGTGCTGGACATGCCGGTAGTGTCTTCTTTGTAGTTGTAAGTCTCCCATGCGCAAAGGTCATCGTTTTGTCACAGCTAACACGTTTCAGGTCATGTACGAAGGCCTGTATACTGGCATCGGTCAGATGATCGCTGCATATACCCCCAACGCGGTCTTTGCGTCGCTCGTCAATCCTCTCGTCATCACCACTCTCGTCTCTTTCTGCGGCGTGATGATCCCTTACAGTCAGATTGTAGAATTTTGGCGATACTGGTAAGTCGCAGACTCTCTCATCACATCCCAACATCGCCATCTGACTCAAGTCATAGGATGTACTACATTGATCCCTTCAACTACCTCATGAGCTCGCTCCTCGTGTTCACGACCTGGGACAAGCCCGTCCACTGCAAACCCCATGAACTCGCCATCTTCGACCCTCCTTCCAACACCACGTGCGGCGATTATCTCTCTGACTATCAGAACGGTATGGGCAAGGCCACCAACCTCCTCAACCCGGATGCGTTCACAGATTGTCAAGTCTGTCAATACACCTCGGGCGCAGATTACCTCCGAACATTGAACCTCAAGGAAGAATACTACGGTTGGCGAAACGCTGGTATTGTCGTTGTGTTTGTGATTGGTTTCTATGGGCTTGTGTATGTCATGATGAAGCTCAGGACCAAGGCTACTAAAAAGGCCGAGTCTTGAAAGGAATGGTTTAGAATGGGATAGAAGGATGATATTTACTAGAATGGTTAGAACGGTGCACCCTGTTACTTCTCTTCTTTGTGTTTTTGCTTGCCGACCTTTGGTTACGGTAGTTTTAGTTTTAGACTGGATATTAATTGTTTTGGGTCAATCTTACTGATAGTCTCTACGGTGTGAATTTGTTGATCCTGTAGTCTTTCAGTCCTATAACGGAACAGTAATTTGGTGAGCTGTGCTTCGGACAGGCCCAATACCTGGGCTGCATGCACTAAAACATCCGCTAACTCATCATGTCACAGTGGAGAGGCCCATAAACCACGGCGAAATCAAGCGTAGTGCAGTCTTCTCACTTTCGGCGCCATTTCGCCGAAAGCCCTGACCCTCTCACTCGACGCAATGGTCGTGGCACAGCGTCGGGTTTCCGGAGGATGGCCATCATTTCGCCTAGTCCACGATCTTCGATTGAATCATCGATTTATTTGTACCGTAATGAAAATGTTCTATATAATCATAGAGACCAGGGTCTCTGAACATAACACCCAGGCACTCAAGATACCTGTTTCAACTCTACCACTGAATAAAATTTATCCAGCTATCCTGCACCTTAAGAAACTTACAAAATGCACTATTCACCTCGCGAGGTACATTGTACTCTGCTCATATGCATCATTGATACTGACACCGTGGTTACAGGTTGAGAAGCTTCTCTTTTCTCAGGCCGGTAGTCTTGCACAGAGGCGTCTGGCCCACGGAAAGAAGCTGAACCATCTCGAATGTACTGTAAGTCGAGACATGTCGCGGCTCACAATCAACTAGCTAACTTAAGTCTCAGGCTCTCATCGCTACTGTTCTCCAAGAAGTTAGCTCCATTCACAAATGTACAGTTCTCAATGTACTGACGATGTGATTAGATCATTCATAACGAAGATTACTCTGTCGCGGATCTCATGAAACTCGGCAGGGCGATTTTGGGTCGACGGCATGTCCACCCTTCTGTCGTGGGCACGCTCAAGCAGATGCAGGTTGAAGGAACCTTCAAGACCGGAACTCACTTGATCACTATTCACGACCCAATTAGCACTGATGATGGTGACTTGAAGATGGCTCTGTATGGAAGCTTCCTCCCAGTTCCTTCTCACGACTTGTTCCCTGCTATCAATGAATCGGATTTCCATCCGTCTGCGATGCCAGGCGCGATTCGTCCAGCGGACACTGGAGACATCATTCTCAATGCAGGCCGCGACCGAGTCAGACTCACCGTCACGAACAAGGGCACTCGAGCTGTCCATGTGGGTTATCACACGTCTGAATACACTATCTATCATGCTAACGTGATATCTCAGATCGGCTCTCATTTTCACTTCATGGAAACAAACCCCGATCTCGACTTCGACCGCGAAAAGGCCTATGGCTACCACCTCGATCTTCCGGCTGGAGAGTTTCTGCGCTTTGAACCGAATGAACCGAAGAAAGTGACTTTAGTTCAGATTGGAGGTTCCAGGATCATCCAAGGCGGAAGTGGCTACGCCAAAGGTCCTATCGATCCCAGCAACGTTCAGAAGATCTTGCATCAACTGCAACAATCTGGGTATCGACACTCGCCTGAGAAATCGACGAAAAGTGAGAGCTTTCAGCCTTGCTCGATCACTCGGGAGAAGTATGCCTCTGCGTATGGTCCAACGACAGGTGATCTTATCCGTCTCGGCTCAACTGACCTCTGGGTTAAAGTAGAGAAGGACTATACGTCTTATGGTGACGAGTGTACGCTAGGCTGCGGAAAGACTATTCGTGATGGCATGGGGGCTGCAAGCGGCTGTTCTGACGCGGATTGTCTTGACTTGGCTATCATCAACGCCGTCATCATTGACTGGACCGGCATTTTCAAGGCTGACATTGGTGTCAAGAATGGTACCATTGTTGGCATTGGAAAGGCTGGTAACCCAGCAACGATGGATGGTGTTTCTGATAACATGGTGATTGGATCGAACACCGACATCATTGACGCTGGTGGTAAGATCGTCACCGCTGGTGGAATTGACACGCATGTCCACAATATTTGCCCACAGCAGGCATTCGAGGCCATCTCATCCGGCATCACGACACTCTTTGGGGGAGGAACCGGTCCGAGGTATGATCATAAGCTCTTGTGCTTGCGAAAGAAGAACTGACAGATCCAGTACATCTTCTACAGCAGTCAACGGCACTGCGAGTAAGAAGTACATCCGACAAATGATGCAAGCGTGCGACCAACTTCCCCTTAACTTCGGCCTCGTCGGAAAAGGCAGCGACTCTGAAAGAGTCGGTCTTCTCGACCAGATCAAGGCTGGCGTTATCGCGCTGAAGCTGCATGAGGACTTTGGCTGCACGCCTTCAACAATCGACAACTGCTTGGAGTAAGTCATCGACCAGTGATTCTATTGTACCTTGGAACCATGCTGACTGCTATAGCGTCTGCGAAGAACAGGACATCAAATGCCATATCCACACCGACGGTCTCAACGAAGCAGGCTTCCTCGAACACACCGCAGCAATCTTCAAAGGGCGTAGCATTCACGTCTACCATGTTGAAGGCGCAGGAGGAGGCCATGCGCCAGACGTGATCAAGCTAGTCGCCTATCCCAACGTCCTCCCTAGCAGCACGACCCCAACCATGCCTTTTACGACCAACACGATCGATGAGCATATTGACATGGCCGCGAACTGCCATCGCCTGTCAAAGGATAACCCCGATGATGCTTCGTTCCTTAAGAACCGCATCAGGGAGGAGACAATCTCAGCCGAGGATATTCTTCATGATATCGGGGCTATCAGTATTATGTCATCTGACTCGCAAGCTATGGGCCGATCAGCAGAGGTGCTGACATGCACGTGGAAGGCAGCGCATAAGAACAAAGTCCAACGTGGACCATTGGACGAGGACAAAGATACTGGTGCAGATAACTTCCGCGTCAAGCGGTATGTCAGCAAGTATACTATCAATCCTGCGATCACCCAAGGAATCAGCCACGCCGTTGGCAGTGTCGAGGCTGGAAAACTCGCGGACTTGGTAATCTGGGACCCAGCTGAGTTTGGAACCAAGCCTTTCCAGGTTTTGAAGAAGGGTTTCATTACATATGCACAAATGGTAAGTTTATTTATCCTAACACTGGTAAGAGTTACTAACATGTCTCACAGGGTGACCCTAACGGAGCGTGAGACTTTCCCTTCCCTCATCATGGTTAAGTACTAATTCCTTCTTAGCGTAGCAGATGTCGAACCTTTGATCGGTCGACCGATGTACGGAGTAAGTACTGCTGCAGTCATTCATTTGAACAATCTCTGACGTACTGCTAGGCTCTACATCCTGAGTCGAGCGTCATGTTTGTATCACAAGCAAGCATGGCACAAGGTGGCGACGTTCATTCGTACGGCCTCAAGAAACAGATTGAGGTTGTCAAGAACTGCCGAACTGTGAAGAAGAGTGATCTCAAGTATAACAGCGCGACACCAAAGGTTGAGGTAGACCCCGAGACTCTGGTAAGCACTATATCTGTGGATGGCGATGAACGAATTAGCTAATTATTCCATAGGTTGTTACTTGCGATGGAAAGGAACTCAGGTCTGAGCCGGCGAGCTCTCTTCCTTTGACGAGACAATCGTTCTTGTATTAGATAGTTACGAGAGTACGTGTAGCACAGACCTTGTCAAGGATTAGGTAATCAGTTCAATCTTAAATAACATTACAAGCTCCATAGACTGCTGTATCTTGTGGTTAAAGGTTTCTCTCGTGTTGAAGTAGTAGAGCAAGCGAGCTTCTGTGTTGAGGTTAGTGATCGTGTAAGACACTAAACCTTTGAGGTGTAGCGTCTCGCTTGGCAAAGGCTACCCCAAACAGGGCACTAACATACTGCGTCATAGGCGAAGTCAACTGTGACTCAGCACTGTCTGTTTGTAAAATTTTCCCAGTCATGCAATAGTTTAACAGCGAAAGTACCTGTCTATAACTCTAGATGCCGAACTTTGGGCGTCGAGATGGATAACAGTGAGGCAGATGACATCAATGCTCACAACGAACCTGGCACACGCACCTATAGACTTCATAACAGACGTCGGCCTTGTGATCAATGTCGAGCCCGCAAAGTCAGGTGCCAAACTGAGGATGGCAATCCGCCGTGTCGAAGGTGCGCGCAAACAGAGACTGCGTGCACCTTTGTAGGACGATCAAGACGTACGACTCGGCAGAACAGAACTCGATCTATGTCAAGTAATGCTCATTCACCAACTGTCAACCATGCCCCCCACGATACCACATTCGATCTTGATAACTCCTTCGAGACGGGAGATATTCAAGCTCAACACACCACCCATGAACCAACCATCTTCGCAGGTACTACCCCCGTTTTATCTCCCCAGAGCCAGGTTCCATATCATCAGGCACCTACTCTTGGCAGTGTCGCGACTACAACGCAATTGCAGTTCTCCAAGTCCCTTGACGACACCAACGGCTCGACATCCATTCTATTGGGAGCATCTTCTGAATCTGATCCGTGGTTACTGCGCCACTGCCAATTCGACGAGTATGGCCTGAGGAGCTTCTATGGTTTGCAGTTCAGAAATATTGGTGGAGTTCCTAACAGGCAGAAGATTCCAGTGCACTTCATCGTGAGACAGGATGAGACGAATGTGATGGACTCATCACTAAGGACCAGGCTGAATGACCTTATACCTGTGCCTTGGGGACTAAGGCTCATCAGATTGTAAGCCAACGCAATGGTAACTTTCAGGGTGAAGACTGACCTGCTGAAACAGGTTCTATAAACATGTTTACCCAATAATGCCGATTATATCTTCGACTTACTTTACCCAGGAGATGCTTAGCGATTTATATCCCGCGCTCGGTGTATTTGACCACGTACCTTGCCACTTACTCGGCGCCATGTATGGCCTTGCAATGCCCTTCGCTAGAAACGATGATCATCTCTCCATCGTCGACATCCACAACCAACTCCCTTGTGAGGCCG